GGTTCCTTAGACCAGGAACTTGGTGCACCCCTGCCCCTTTGGATTACCGTGTGACCTTTGCTCTGCACCTTCCTTCTCCAGCTCCCTCTCCCCCTTTGACCTAGCTAAGCCCTGCATGGACTCCAGATTGAGTCATGCATTGACCTGTCCACAAAGCCTTCACTGCCCCAGTCCCCACCACATGCAGGAAGTCCCTGGGCTAAATGCTCCACATTGACCTCTGCTTCCCACGGCAGTAGATACCACCTTAATATCCCAGTTGTGTCTTCATGTTCTTCTCTTTTCTGGTAGCTGTGGGGCTGCTCATTGTTCTCAGAATCTTCAGATGTTTTCCCAGGGAAGCTAGGGACAGCCAGCAAGACTGGCCTCCTTATGTTACCCTTCTGTTTGGATGCACCCAAAGGAGGGATCACATCCACCAGGGAGTTTGGTGGCCCTCCTAGGTGCCACCGAGTTATATGGTTGTATCCAGACTCCCAGATGAGGCCACATCAACCCCCTTTCCCCCTATTAATTTATAGCCCTGGTCCAATATACCACACCTGGGTGAAACAAGAAGGGAGGTTGGTTTCCAGAGTCTGGTGGCTGTTGCAGCCCTGAGTTAATACTTACTAAGTTGTTAGGGTAGAAGAAACAGAATTAGACTCAGACTGATCTGCTGGTGGAAGATACTCCTGCCATCAGGGGACTGTGTGATCTTGGAAAACTCACTGGGAAAACTTGGAGTTTTTGTGTCTACCTGAATAAGCTGAGGGTGCACTATGAATCTGTTTAATAATAAGTGATTATGTTATAAAGAATGTGGTCCATAAGGGGTATTTAGAAGTATCGCCCTGTGTTATTAGTATGGAGAAAGGTCAAGCTTGCAATCCCATAAATTAGGAGATTGTTTATGGTTTTTCTGGAACTCAAGAAGTTATCACATCGTTGCTTTAGACATTGCACCTTTATTTTTTTTATTTTTTAAAAATTTTTATGACATTGCACCTTTAAATGGGAAAAAAATGTTTAAGAAGCCATAACCCATCTGGATACCAGGAAATGTCTTTACTTTGGTTTGATTTTCTCTTCTTTGTTATGGGCATAATAAGGATCTGAGGAATGGATGAGAACTGTGGGGCTATGAGGTGTCCCAGTTCAGACAGGGTTGAGCTGTTTTTCTGGAAATGATGGTGTTTATATTAAAAATTTAATTTTTGTTGTTGTTTTTGGGTCACCCCCGGCAATTCTTACTCCTGGCTCTGTACTCAGGAATTACTCCTGGTGGCATCTCCTGGTTGCCTGGGCAACATACGAGTTGCTGGGCATTGAACCCATGTTGGCCACTTGCATGGCAAACGCCCTACGCACTGTACTTTGTTCCGGCCCCTTGTTTTTATTTTTTAATTTTTTTTCCAGAAACTGCCCTACTTCCAACAGTGTTCCAGGTTCTACTTGGATTGGAACTAACTTTCCCCCCAAGCTCCAGGAATACCTGGAGAGTTAGAAATTTAGAGCTCGGAATCAAAACATGCCCTGACGTTGAAGAAGTCTGTTCCACTGAGAGTCGATTGGAAACCGGCTTGCGAGCCTGGGACAGCCTGCCTTCTCCCTGGGGTCTCCGGCTGCTCATCCATAAAGTGAGGGGGGTGGTAGACAGCTGCTCAGGTGGCTTCCAGCCCTGGCATTCTGTGAGTCTAATTTGTAGCTGAATGAGTTGTCATTCATACACCAGGAAGGGCAAAATTATCTTCATTATTCTCCTCACGGTGCTGGTGCCTGAGAAGCCACTGGGTCCTGCCACATCTAGAATTAGCTCTGAACCCTTGGGCTTTTAATTAAAGGGCTTTGTGAGTCAGATGGCTTATGGTCAGATCAGCTCTTTGGGGAGACACGGAGGGAGGTCCTCTCTACTTTGTCATCCACCCCTGGAAGAATCAGCTGCCTCTCCCAGTGCAAGGAGGGGAAGTGGGAGTCTGCAGGCGCGCTTGCAGAAAAAGCAGCGGTGAAGCTGGCTCGCAGCCCCTCACTGACCCCGGGCACAGAGACTCAGGACAGCCTGTGTGCGATGCGTGGCAGAGCCTCTTTGCTTGTGAGCGCGTGAGCTTTGCCTCTTCCGGTTCCCTCAGTCCTGGCTTCCACCATCACCACCTGGTAGGTGTCTCCTCCAGCATACTTTCCTTTTGGGGTGTTTTGTGCTCAATGCATTTTTCAAGGGACCTAATGGGATGCTGGGAATTGAACCTGGGTCGGCCACATGCAAGGCAAATGCCCTATCCATTGTGGTATCGCTCCAGCCCCTCAATGCATTTTTCAGTCCTGAGCAGCTCAAGGGTTTTAGAAAAGGATAGCTTAAAAAAGCTGGTTTTGGAATGTGTGGGAAGCAAGGCTGCCTGCTATGTGGTTGGAACAACTGCCTCCCCGGAGGAGGCTGGAACACCTCACCTTTCCAGATCTTTCCATTCCTGTTAGAGAGGAATTGAATCACATCCATCTTCTAACTACTGCGGCTGTGACTGTGAGCCAGGGTCTATTGGTCTAAGCTGAGTGTCCAGAGTTGGAAAGTGACACCTTTTCCTGCCAGAGGAGGTGAAGTCCCATGGGTGCTCGTTAACTTCCTCTGCCTGTGCCCGGCTTCTGCGTGAGAGCACGTTTCGGTGACAGTCTTTAGGCTCCCTGCTAAGGGTTACTGAGCGTCTACTGTGTGCTGAAACAGCGTCAGGGTAAGAACTCTGTGGGATGCTTGCATGGCTGCCCTGTGGCATACTTCAGTGTTCTGTGGGCTTCCTGCCAGCTGACCAAGCTCCTTTTCTTTTCCTCCTGGAGACTGACGTGTTCCAGGCACTTGAATGGGGCACTGTCCTTCACTCTTTACATCAGGCTTTCCCATCCTTTGCACTAATGACTTCTTGAACATAACAAGTCTTTGTGGTGTGTGCATGTATATGTGTGTGTATGTGTGTGTGTGTGTGTGTGTGTGTGTGTGTGTAGTAGGGGGTTGTTTCTCCTGAGCTCATAGTAAGATGTTTAGCAGCATCCCTGATCTCTCAACACACTCGATGCCAGTCACACCCGACACGTGCGAGTTGTCATTTTGAAAAGTGTAACAGATAAATCCTCTTAGTTTCGTATTCATCCAAATGTCTTTACACCCATTCTCTTTCTTTATATACTTGTATAGAGAAAAGCAAGATTGGTCTCCCCCTTTTGTTAAGGCAATTGAGAATCAGGTCTGGAAACACCTGATCTCCAATTCCAACTGTGAGTTGGGGCAGTTCTAGTTACTGGTTAAATCTTTTGTCTCTCCAGTGTGCTAGCTGTCTCATAGATACATTTGGTGCTGTGTAAATATTTACTCATTATTGATCTGGGAAAAACAAAAATAAAACAATTGTGATTAGTAATGGTTGCCAGTTTCCCTGGTGTAAAACTCCTACTACAACTGTTTTCTACTTATAAACATGAAATTGGGAAGAGATAGGTATAATTGGCTCAGGAGAATTATGCCATCTGGCCCTGGGATAGCCCTGGATCCAGATGTGCTTCTGTCACATATTAGCCTTGACTTTCTCTTCTACCCCGCTTCCTGTGCTGCAAAAACACATAAACTAATTACTGTGAAATACAGTGGAGGAAGCAGCCTGGAAAAAGGGTGTTGATCACTTCTTTGGATCGATACAACACAGTTTACATGGAGTTTTCTCCCTCTCCTATTAAAAGGACATTTTATTTTTGGTATCTTTCCATATAAGGAGTTGGATGAGTAATAGAGCAGCTCTGGTCTTAGAGCAGAAATCTTGGAACACTCATCACTGGGATCTCCTTGGCAAAATGATAATCTCCTAGGTAGGAACTAACTGCTATTATTCACATCAGATTTGTCAGGTAGGAGTTACCTGGTGGTAGGAGATATTGATCCAATGGGCTGTTGGCATTTTGGAGCTTAAGGGAAGGGTCTTGGCTGGAGTTTTAGTGCTGGTATGAGTTCTACCTTGATTAGCCTCAGTTTCCATACCTATAAAAGGACAAACAACAATCTCCTCTTCATTTTTAATAAGTAACAAATGCACTTTTTTAAAAAATTTCTGAACCTAGATACCTCTCCTAGAAGTTCATCAATCCTGAGGACTGAGTGGGTGGGTCTTAACATTATCACCTGGTTGTGTGCACCTGACCATCTTGTCTGTGGTTCACCACTAGACCTGGGGGAGCCATGGGTGAGGTTCACAGGAGACCTGTGTTCTTGTTCTACCTCTGGAACCATCTCATTACATAATCTCTGGGAAGTTGTTTGGTGAGTCTGGAATGTGGGTAGCCTCAGGGAAGGGGTGGGAACATGATGTTATTTGGATTTCCTTCTGAAGGTGGTGGGAAGTGCTAGGAGGCTTTTTCAGCAGGGAAGGCACATCATCACACGCATGCTTTCGAAAGTTCTTTTTGTGGCCAGAGTCCAGGCAGTATGAAGCCAGTTAGAAGACCAGTGCAACAGTCCAGCCACAAAGTGATGAGGCAACCTGTGGGGACTAAGGACTGTATGGCCCTGCTGGAAAATGCTGTGAGAGTTCAGAAAAGAGACAGGTTTGTGTGAACTGGGCAGCAGAAGGGCATCTAAGAAGACGTCCTGGAGGAAGAGACAACTGCTCACAGAGCTACTGGCTTTGAGGAAGGGTCAAAAGAATAGTAATGCAAGATGATACACTGCAAGAAAACTTGAAGCTGCAGTAAAATCACTTTTGGACTCAGTTTCTCCATTAAGTATGAACCCATTAATGGACAGAATGGACCCAAAGTTCAGGAATAGGGATTTCGTTCAAGGACGGTGGTCTCAGAGGGAAAAGTATATTTTCTACTAGCTGCTCCACCTTGTTGTCCATTTAGAGGGGAGCTGAACCCCTGATGTAGGGTTCAGCAGACCCCTGCTGCTTGGAAAGGCAGAATCCCCAGGCTTTTTAAAGGCTGAACGAAGCACTGAATGCTGATTGGCTGATTCCCTATTTGCCTCACCACAGGGAGCCCCAGAAGTAGAGCAGCTGCGCTATTGTCTGCACCCAATCGCCAGTGTTTGTCTGCTTAGGCCTGGGTGACTGTTGTCAACACTGTAGATAAGCCGGCTCCCAGCTGTCGCAGGTATGTCCTCAATCATCCCCCTCCTGTTGACTCTGCCTCTCTCTCCCTCCCTGTGAAGAATGGCAATTTCGCCTCCCCCCCACGCCAGCTTTGTGACAGCGCGTCTGGCTCTGCCCATGAAGGTGAAGGATGGCTCGCCTTGGAGTATCCAGAGGAAATGAGATCTGTGCTTTGGGGGAAGTGTTAGAATAGAGAGTTCACAGCAAAATGATATGAGCGAGATACAATAAGCTCTGAGACACACCTGAGAAAATTGGGGGTTGGGGGGGGGACATAGGGGTGACTCAGCCAAGGTCGCACAGCCGGGAATTAGAAGAGTGAGAGACTAGAATCTGAATGTCCGAACTGGACTTAAGCACCTGCTCGTTGGATTCAGATAGCCATATTTTGTAGAAAGGGCTGGTGTAATTTTTAGTAGAAAAAAAGTCCCTCTTAGTAATAAAATGACTCTCTTGGGACTGGAGCCATAGTAGACTGGGTAGGGCATTTGTCTTGCATGCCGCAGACCTGAGTTCGATCCCTGACATCCCTTATGATCTCCTGAGTTTAAGTAACTCTTGAGTGTCGAGCCAGAAGTAACTGCTGGGCACCAGTGCATGTGAACTAAAAAAACAAAATGGCACACACACACACACACACACACATGCACACACACATATGCGCGTGCGCACACATGCACATACACGCATGCACACACATACACACACAAAGAAAGTGACTCCTGGGCTGAAGCAATAGTATACCAGATACAGCACTTGCCTTATACTTGGCCAACTTGGGTTAGTGCCCTAGGGTCCAATGTGACCCTCCAAGAGTCAGAAATAAGAGCAGTGCCAGGTATGGCTCCAAGACCAAAAGAAAATAAAATGACTCTCAAGTGTCGGTATATATCATAGGTTCGACTGGCTCAGAAGAACTTCACCCACCAAAGAGCATCTGGAAATTGAGAGCTGTAAATTCCAAGGATTCCTAATCATTATACAGTTGACAGTCATTGATTTTTCCCAATGTCTTCCAGAGATCAAAGGAGCTTGGAGCCAGATCTCTTGCTTTTTAAACTCCAGGCTCTGCCATCTACCCAGCATTGAGGCATAAGTGGGGTCTTTCTCCATAACACCGAACATAAGGTGTTTTGTGATGGTGATGTTATAGGCCAGGAGCTGCTGGAGAATTCACGGGGGTGAGGTGAATGAGTATGGCCCTCAGATGGGATGGCCACTTGTCACTTTTTGGTCCACTGGTGTACAAGATACCAGAACGCATCTGAGTTTTTGGAAGCCTGACACATGGGGTCGGCAGCTGGACTCTGCTGAGTTGGTGCTCAGCACAGTCTAGCCACAGCACCCTTTTGGCTTTCTACTCCCACACAGCCCTGACTTCGGGCCTCAATTCGTCTTCCTCTTGAGGGTCCAGGTCTGCTTTGAGCCCCTGTATCCCTTTGTATTTTGGAATAATTGTATTAGCTGAAGCTCAAGCTGGCCACTTAGAAACTGGGTCACTCAACAGACTGAAATGGTGCTATTATCTTTATTATATACTCTTCTCCTGGAGAGTTCAAGGCCCCAGACTCTTCATATCACCCTGTTCTCCCTGAAAAACTTTGACATTTTTCCTCTCTCTATTTTTTTTACCTGCCAACTTACTGTTCAGCTCCACAATAAGTGTGGGTCTATGACCCCAGCCGTATCCCATCTTCCTTTTTGCCACACCCCCATCACCTCTTTCCTCGCTCCCAAGCTATACTGATCCTATCACTGCCCTGGTTTGACAGATTCACTCACCCACATTCCTCATCCTTACTGGACTCTGGGCTAGTTCGAGTAACCTGTAGAGAGATGGTAGACTGCCACTTCCTCTTAAGGATCTTTCCATCCAATGGCAGAGATGAAAGTAGAACGAAAATAGCTATGGTTCCTTAAAATCCCTTGATCTTCAAAGTAGCCTGAGAGACTTGCTAGTGTGTCTCGCTGTAAGATCTGCATTTAACACACTTTGCATCTAAAGGTCAGAAACTAACAAGATGGGAGTGTCTAAAGGTCTCACAGCCAGCCAGGACAGCATTGGGGATAGAGCCAGGTTTGCTGGCCTGCCTTCATGCTACATCAAAGTGTCCTCTTGGCTGTGTCACTGTGATGAACAAGTGTGACCCCTGAAGGTTGGTCCTGGGTCTGTTTCTGTCGTTCCTTCCTCTTCCTCAAAGGCGAGGCTCCTGAAGTTGCAGCCTGGGAAAAGGAAGAGGCAGCTGGAAGTAGTCTGCTTCTCTGGAATTTGGTATTCAGGGATTTCAGAAAGAGGAAACTGATTTTATTGGATTCCTAAAGTGTCACCCACTTCCTCAGTGCAGAGGAGGATGGGAGGACTGAAATTTCTCTAAAAGAAGGGCTTCACTCTGGCATGTTTGCTGTAGTAGGAAACTTGGGGGTAGTTTTCTGAACTCCTCTGCCAGTTTGACTGGATCCTACCACTTTCCTAGTGGTTATTCAGGTTTGACCAAGATCAGGGACAGAGGTAAAACCACAACCTTGAGGCATGGAACAAAAGTGAGCCTGGACATAAGGACTTGACTCACCTCCTGGTTCTGTGACCATGGGCCACATACAACTTGCCTATTTGTAAACAGTGAGCTGGGCAGAGAGCACAATGGTTAGAGCTAGACCTTGCGATTGAACTAGGGTTCTAATAGACACTGACTGCTGACCCAGAGGAATATTAAAGCTTACTAAAGATCAGTAAATATTGCAATTGAGGTAAAAAAATGCAAGTAAACAAAAGAACTATTTTTTTAAGGGCCAGAAAGTAAATGAAGGGTGAAGACATCACTTTCTGATGACTGTGTCTAGTCCTTGATATTCTGAAGCAGCTTCAACACCTGGGACTTGTTAACTGGCTGAACATTTCTATAGCCCAAGGCTCCAGCTAAATCTGTAGTAGAATTATATCTGGCGTGAGTTTCAGTCCTTGGGTCAGCTCCATCTTGGCTCTTCTTGAGTAGGCCGCCATTTTTTTTTAATAGTGAAACACTGTGAGGTACAGTTGTAGACTTACAAATTTTTGTGCTTGGGTTTCAATTATACAATGATCAAGTACCCATCCCTCCACCAGTGCCCATTTTCCTTCATCACGGATCCCAGTATCCCTCCCACCCCACATCCCCCCATCCTATCCTGCCTCTGTGTCAGGGCATTCCCTTTTGTTCTCTCTCTCTTTTTGGGTGCTGTGGTTTGCAAAAGAGGCATTGATGGCAATCATGTTCGGTCTATGGTCTACTTTCAGCATGCATCTCCCATCCTGGGAGGATCCTCCCAACACCCTTTCTTTGGTGCTCCCTTCTCTTCTGTCTGAGCTGCCTTTTCCCCTAGCATGTGTGGCTGGCCTCCAAGCCATGGAGTAAACCTCCTGGTACTTATCTCGAGTAGCCCACCATTTTCTTATGGGTAAGATGTGGCTAGCGGGAGTGTGGCAGCATTTGGTGGATGGCGGGAAGGAGAACTGCGGGCACCAGGTGGGGGTGTCGTCCTCGGAGCTTGCATATGGTCAGCCTGCAGAGAGAAGAGCTGACATTCTCCCGTGCCATGGCCTTAGTCCACTTGGTGCCCTCTGATCATCTGAGGCAGCCTGTCCTACCTCGGTCTTCTGGGGTCAGCCACATGATTGGCATGAATTTTGTCCCCAATGTGAGTCCCCCTGAAAATTTCAGTCTGAGGGTACACTCATTAGGACCAAGAAGACCCTACTGTCATTTGGGAGACCAAAAGAGGACCACGGTATTCTCTTTCTTGCATTTTCACCCACTAGCTGAGAGGTCTGAGGTCTCCCCAGAATAGCATTACTATTAATCTCATGATGACTCATAGGAATAATAGTAATAATATCACAGAGGCGTGAATTGTGGCGCCCAGAGCATGTGTTCATGCTGAGTTCCCAAGAGTCTGTGAATGGCACCTAGTAGATGGGGAGTCTCATTTACCAAACTCTTCACTTGCTGCATCCCTGATGCCAAACAGACCCAAAGGCTTGTCACTTTTGTTCCACAAGATGCAACCCAGAGCCCCGCCCAGAGCCACTTCAGATATTTCTGGGCTTCCAGCCTGTGAACTTGTACAATGTTCAGAAAAATCACTGTCCAGGGACTGGAGCAATAGCACAGAGGGTAGGGCATTTGCCTTGCATGCGATTGACCCGGATTCGATTCTCAGAATCCCACATGGTCCCCTGAGCACTGCCAGGAGTAATTCTTCAGTGCATGAGCCAGGAATAGCCCCTGTGCATTGCCAGGTGTGACCCGAAAAGCAAGAAAAAAAGAAGTATTGCTGTAGGAATCAGATCGTACAGTAGGTATGGAGCTTTGCCTTGCAACTTTCTGACTCAGATTCAATCCCCAACTCTTTCCCCCAACCCCCCAGCACCAACCACCGCCAGCAGTGATTCCTGAGCTCAGTCAGAAATAAGCTCTCAGCTAATAGACTGGCTGGCAACAAGCAATTGTTCCCGTTATTTTTGTTGTTATCGGTTTGGTTATTACTCTATGACTATTATTATTCGTTTCTATTCATTTTTGTCTGTGGAATGATGAGCCCTGCCCTGTCCAACTCCCCAGATCTTTTGGTGGCTGGAAGCAGGCAGCATCTCCAGAGCCAGTGTCCCAGGAGGACACTGTACTGTTTGAGGCAGCACTTGCCTGCCCTGTGCCCTGCCGATCCATCCCTGAGACTTGGGAACTGCATTCCCATGGCATTTCCCCCCTCCACCCACTCTGCTTGCTCTCCCATCTCAGTCCCTCCCGCGGTGGCCTCAGAGAGCAGCCTGCTTCCTGCTCCCAGGATGAGTGCTGCTCTAGAAACCAGCTCCAGGATGTCACTGGCTGGAGCTGGCTGGCATGGAAAACTTCCCCTGTGGGAACCACATTCCTGGGGCTGCCTCTGCAGTGTCTCAGTCTTCTGTCTTGGAGAGCTCTCTCCCTTCCTCTAACCTTTGAATGAAAGGTCATTCATTCTTAGTGTGCTTACTTTTTTTTCTTCTTCCTTCCCTCCTTCCTTCCCTCATTCCTTCCCTCCTTCCTTCCTTCCTTCCTTCCTTCCTTCCTTCCTTCCTTCCTTCCTTTCTTTCTCTCTCTCTCTCTCTTTCTTTCTCTCTCTTTCTTTCTTTCTTTCTTTCTTTCTTTCTTTCTTTCTCTCTCTTTCTCTTTCTTTCTTTCTTTCTTTCTTTCTTTCTTTCTTTCTTTCTTTCTTTTTTCTCTCTGACTCTTCTCTCTCTCTAACTACCTTAAGAGGGCCAACAAACTATAATTCGCACCTGATGGCCTGAATTCAAATCTTGTAGGGCATTTGCCTTGCATGCGATTGACCCAAGTTGAGTCCCTGGACAAGGACCTCAGTTTCTCCATGGGTAAAGGCAATCAGAGGAATGTGAACTGATACTGTGGCTATGAGATTTCAAGGCATTGGACAGATGGATGATGCCATGCTAAAAACTCCAGGTACATAGAGGGTTCCACCATGGATGGGGGGACTGTCTAGTTACAAAAAGGCCTGCTTGGTGTGTCCTCATGTTGCCCAGGAAACTTGGGGCTGTGAAAGGTGGCCCTCTGGGGTCTAACTGCCTTCAGAGTCCAGCCCTGACTACTGCTTATCTGGGACTTAGCACAACCCACTCCCCCACTGGGATAGAGTCTTCTTATCATCCCAGCCTGGAGGCCAGCAGATGGTCTTGTAACCTTCAGTCCCTGTCATCAGCAGAGACCCCTGTCCGACCCACTCACTACCCTGGCCCTGCCGCCTGAGTCCAGGAACATTCCCAAGTGAAAGACATGCTGTGGGTCAGAGTTGTCCCCCAGCCCCTGTCCTTACTGAATGGGGTATGGGGACCACATGGTGTCATGATAAAGTCGCAGATCATTGGAGCTGGAGCAGTAGCAAGCAGGTAGGGCTTTGCCTTGCACGTGGCCGACCTAGGTTCGATTCCCAGCATCCCATATGGTCCCCTGAGCACTTCCAAGGGTAATTTGAGAGTGCAGAGCCAGGAGTAACCCCTGTGCATCACCAGGTGTGACCCAAAAAGCCAAAAAAAAAGTCTCAGGTCATCATTTTGAAGGTAGGGGATACTTGGTCTAGTCCTGATTCTATTCTGTGACCTGAGCTATATGATTTTTTGTTTGTGGACTTTAGTGCCCTCTTTAAAATGGGCTCATGATCCCCCTCTGCTTTGCCCCTCTCTTGCGAGGATCACAGGAAGATATAGAAAGGCATCTCACTGGCTGAGAGGTGCTACAAAAATGGGGTGGAAGGTCTGTGTGACGTTGGGCCAGGAGGCGGGTGTGGGCATTGCTGTGGGGGGGTGGGTCTGTGGCAGCTGCTCACTCCCTCAGCTTGGCAGCAAATTCTCACTGTGTTGTGTGAGGTCATGCTGGTTGTGGGGATGCAGCGTGGGAGTTTTAAGTGTCTTTCCTGGCTTCATCTCTGTCCTCTCTGATGGACATCTGGCCTTGGGGGGCGACTCAAACAGGAAACCCCCCAGCCGTTACTTCCAAAGGCTTGGACGCTTCTCAAAGATCTGCTTGCTTTTTTGTTGTTGGAGTTTGTTTGGATGGTAGAGGGATAATTTACAGAAGCCAGGGCAGATCCTTAGCGCAAGCCCCTCCCGGACAGAGCCTCTGTGATATTATCTAGAAGGTGCGTGTGTGGGCGGGGGACGGCGGGCATACAGGGAGGGCTGGATCCAGGTCCAAGTTCTCCATCCAAGTGCTGGTCTAGAGCCAGGGTGGTGACATGGAAACTCTCTCAGAAGCTTGGTTTGGTTTGGTTTGGTTTTTTGGTGGTGGTTTCCCCCAATGCCTTGCCAATTGGGGAAACTGCTAAATAGGAGAGACGTATCAGAGATGGTTATCTGAGGACTTTTCCTTGCAGAGCTGCTTCAGTCCTTCCTCCACTCCCTTCCCAGTGCTCACCAGGAAGCAGTAGAATTTCTTGGACCGAGAGAGATGAGGTGATTGACATAGTCATCGATGTGTGTGATTGTTCAGTAGGCAGGGGGCGATCATATTTCCAGACACACATTGGAAGCTGGGGAACTCACCCAAGGATCCCTCCACATAAATGCATACAAAGACTGGGGAAGATTCTGGAAGGACCTTAGAATTCATGGTGTATAGGAGTCTAGCAGTCCTCCCATTCTGATCTTCTGGGTTTGTTTTAGAGGCAACAGAAGGAGGTCCTTGCTGTTCCTGGTTGGGTGAATCAAACTCCAATCGCATACCCTAAACATGAGTATAATATTGAGAACATTTGAGAAGGAAACGTTGGGAGCCCCTGGCGTCCCATCCATTTAGCAGCCTCTCCCTCCTTTCCAGAATTTTTTTCTGTGGCACGCCTGGTCTCTCAGCCATGACCAAGAGGCTTGAGACTGGTATTCCCCAGGGATCCTTCCTTGGAAATCTGCCTCCTTCGGGTCCTGGCAGACAGCCGGAAGTCCCTTTTCCTCGGGCTGTGCTCTTCTTGGTGGGACTTCATAGGCGGTGACCCCAGGCTGGAAGAAACCAACCTCGTGGTTCCCACACTGACCTGGGTCTTCCCGGTAGGCAGCGCCAGTCCCACACGTGTCAGCTCAGAAATCACTTTCTCATCAGGACAAGGACTTTGCAACGTTGCTGTGTTTTCGCTCTCATTTCCTTCCCTCCTCAACCGCCTCCCCCTCACTTCCTGTTTTTTCTTCCTCTTTCTCCACCCCCACCCCATCTCTCCTGCCCTGACCCTGGTTGTCTGAGAACAGGAACAAAGCGCCCAGCATTGATAATCATGATTTCCTGATGGCTCTCAGAGCCAGGGGCCGGCCTGGCTTCTCTGGGGCACGTGAGCCCGGGCTGAGAGCACGACAGGAAACTGGGGCCTTTAGAGTCTTCTGTCGGAAAGGGAATCTAGTAAGAATCCTCCTTCCCGGACTGACAGCAATTGACTACTTCCAAAAAGCGCTCTCCTGCATGCAGCGGAAACACTGGGAAAAGAACTGCAAACGCCTCAGTCGCATCGCCACAGTCCAGCTTTAATGGACAAAGACATAAATCTGGGCTTGGGAATCTGTGGCACTATACAGCATTCTGCCCCTCGGGAAACATGGAGTTATTGGTACCCCCTGGAGAATTTTTGAGGATGTTAGGGAGATACTTTTGATGTTGGGAGAAAGTGACTGTCTTTCTCCTCCCCACTCACATGAGCCACCCGAGGGGTCCCTCGACATCACTTTGATATGATTAACCTCTTAGAGCTGTGCTTTGCGTGGTACATGTCAACTCCCTTCATGGGTTTTGTCTTCTGCACAGAGCGGTGAGTGGTCACTGCACAGGAGCCAGAGTGATGCCAGTAACATCCCGGGGAGGGCCCAAGGCTGTTATTACTGGTTTCTCCGGAAACCTTAGCGAGGTAAGACAGGCAGAGAGACAAAAAGGGACCAGAGTCAGAGAGGCAGAGAGGGGCTGAGGGAGCAGCCTGAGGATAGAGTGTATGTACCAACGTCACTGGAAGGGCAGCGCCCCACATCACAGGAGGGCTGGCACAGCTCCTCAGAGCTGACCCGTTATGTAGTTTTCTTGTGGGAACTGTGGGATTCATATTTAAGGTGGAATGTTTTACTGATCTTGCTCCCCAGAGTCAAACTACAAAAAGTACAAATCCAACAACCCCAGGGAAGAGAAGAGTGTCACCTCCCTTTAAAAAAAATCTAGTAAAAAAGCCAAAAAGACTTTCCATTTGAATTCAAGGTCAGTGACCACTGTCTGAGTGACCTGACCATGTGGATGCTTTTAAAAAATTCCAGCAGGCCAGAGCAAAAGAAACCCGTTCTCTTCTGGATTCCTTCCCAACTGGTTGCACTGGGACATGCTTCTCTACCGTCCCAGCCTCAGTTTCCACAGTGGCCACTGCCCAAAGGCCTTCGAGAAGGAGCTCTCACTGACGACTTTTTCCAGCTTCACTGCTCCTGCGTGATTCTGGATCCTGCTGGCTGGCTCTGCTCTCCTTTTCAGAATGCAGTGCTGTTGGGGGCAGGGCAGGAAATGGGCCTCTCCCTAGTGACATGGTTTGCATTCCCTTTCAGCAGATTATCACTCACTTAAGGACCCAGAAGCACTCTCCGAGGTCAAGGTCCTGAGCCAGAGCCACAGACCTGCCTTGGCCTCACAGCTGCTCAGCTGACGTTCAGCCCCATCAGCCTGGATTGGTGAACTTGAGTCACAAGAGATTTCTCCAGGTAAGCAACAGTAGACTTTAGTTTGAGCAAATGGCACAGAGTCCTCCCCCACCAGCGTGCTAAGTGGAGGGCACGAAGCATCTGCAGCCTTGCAGAACCCTTGGGCATATTAAAGATGGTTATTACTCTCTATCTGTCATGTTTGATTGGAGCCAGCCAGGCTTCCTAACACCAAGTCCATGGATGGAAATGGGGGTGGAAGGGGAGAGGGGAGGGACATCATAATTGTGTGCATTTCAAGGTGGTTGCAGCTTTAAGGTGGTTCAAGGTTCCGGGGTGGTTCTATAACAGTGCTCTGAGTGGGAGCTGTTGCCGACTTGAGACTTTTTTTTGAGCACGTAGGCATGAACTAGAGTAGTCGAAAACTACAGGCAGGAGTGGAAATTTAGAGCTGTGGTATAGTGCGCCTTTTCCACTGCAGAATCTATTATTTGAGCTCAAGGCATGTTTCTGGCTCTCCCGTCCGAGCAAATTTAGAGGAGCAAAGAGCTTCGCCCTTCAGTCGTCCAGCCCTGATGGGAGTTGGGTCTCCGGCAGGAGATCTGGTTGGCATCTCACTTGTTCACATTTTCAGAGGTGTTTCCAGATGGTTCTCCCCCTGGGCTGGAGCGATAGCATAGCGGGTAGGGCGTTTGTCTTGCACGCACCCGACTTGAGTTCCATCCCCACCCCCCACCCCCCACCTTGGAGTCCCGGCAAGCTACGGAGAGTATCGTGCCCGCATGGCAAAGCCTGGCTAGCTCCCTGTGACGTATTCAATATGCCAAAAACAGTAAACACAAGTCTCCCAATGGGTATGTTACTGGTGCCCGTTGGAGCAAATTGATGAACAGCAGGAGGACAGTGACAGTGACAGTGGAAGTTCTCCCCCAAGATCACCATCCCCTTTTTCCTCTTGACTCACTTGTCAATGCATAGTCCTTCCTCTCTTATCTCCTCCAGATCAGCAGTGCACACTTTTTTTTTTCTCATATGCAAGGAAAGGAACGTATTTACTTCTTGATTGAACTTGAACCTACCACGTGCTGGTATCCCGCCCGTATTTACTTCTTGATTGAACTTGAACCTGCCACGTGCTGGTATCCTGCCCAGATGCCTGAGGACCCCGTGGCTGAGCTTCCTGAACTCTGTATTAATTCATCCCTTGAAACTGACGTAGTGCTCCCACACATATGAGATCCTGGGAGATGCCGCAGCCCTGCACTGCTAATTAGACTGTAACTTTTGCTCTCTTCTTCCTTTTTATCTACATGTCTTGAGTTTCCTTGAAAACTTAAACCAGAGTCATTTCATAAACCTGAGCACAGTCCAGAAGGCATCCAGTGCCTTCGAAGGGAGTTTCCAGTTCTGAAAACGCCCAGTATCATGTTACCCCAGACTCATTCCTACTACTAAATTCTTATTCTTTAAGGGTATAAGTTTTTCTTTCTTCCTTTCATGGTTTTTTTTTCTCCCCTAGAATGATCCCTGCAATAGTGTAATTCAGAGAAAGAAGAACCTTTGGAATTATAACTGACTTCTAATCTCAGTTTTGCCCATTTACTGTTTCAATAATTTTACTTAGATTTTTTTTTAAATGAGATAATGTTGGTTTACAGTACTGCATATATTTTCAGGGTACAAATCCACACCTCTTTGGAATATACACTATCATACCCACCATGCAAATACTGAGACACCCCCCTCCATGCCCCCCACACTCACAGCACCCCACAAACACAGTTCAGTCGACTTTCTTCACCTTTCACCCCCTTTCACCTCCTCCTTTGTAGTCCCAAGTCCACAGTCAGAGTTCAAAGTTTGCTTTATTTGGCTTTGCCTGTTCTTACTTTGTTTTGCCTAAGTCCTCTATTATCCATTCTGTAAGAAGGGGAAAACATACTATATATTGAAGGCCTATAATGAGAATCCAGAGCAGTGATCTATTAGCATAGTTTCTTGCTTTGTAGGCCTTGAAAAATAGTAGTTTCTTTTCCTGCCCACCCTTTATTTAGAGTCAATGCAGTATATAGTTTTGATTCCTGTAGGGTTCCTTTTGAACCTGTGTCTAAATTTAGAGATGCCTTATTTACATGACTCTAAGTCCCACCCAGTTAGGTGGGGGAAGGAGATGGAGAGAGAGAGAGAGAGAGAGAGAGAGAGAGAGAGAGAGAGAGACATACAGACAGATAGACAGACTGCTGTCTTTGGAGTCAGTCTCCATCTTCGATGTTCCTTGTCTGAACTTGGGGCAGTTCCCATCCAAAACTGGACCTCTTGAGTTGTTTGTTTTGTTACAGCAGGACTTGTCACTGTCCATTGGCCCCATCCTTTATTCTAGATTTGAGCAGAGACCCTTCTTGCTTTTTTTTTGGGGGGGGGGAGGTCTCACCCAGCGATGCTCAGGGATTATTCCTGGCTTTGCATTCAGGAATTACTCTTGGCGGTGCTCAGGGGGACCATATGGGATACTGGGAATCGAACCTGGGTCAGCCGTGTGCAAGGCAAACGCCCTACCTGCTGTGCTATCACTCCAGCTCTGACCCTCCTTACTTTAAGCAACTTCTTCACTGAAGACCAGCATTACTGGGGTAAGAGGTGAGAGGGAAACTGGAGATGCTGATGGTGGAAAATGTACACTGGTGAAGGGATGGGTGTTTGAACATGATATAACTGAATCCAGATCATAAACAATCTTCTAACTGTGTATTTCACTGTGATCCAAAAAGAAAAGACCAGCATTACTGCCATCTCAGAATAAATGTTCTGACAATTGGAATAGGTTGATATGGGAGGGACCTCCTGGCCTGGTGTTTAACAAGAATGCTTGGCTGCTGGCATCATTTCATCTTGGCCAAGGCATTGGTTGTGGTGTTCACCCTGTGGGATGCTCCTTCCTCCAGTCAGCCATGTTCTTCACGGTGTTTATGAAGCACGTGTGTGTGTGTGTGTGTGTATGTGTGTGTGTATGTGTGCGTATGTGGGGGTGGTGGTGGTAGGTTTCATCTTGATGCCAAGCAAAAATTTGTTTCCTCATGGAGCTTACAATTTTCTGTTGAAGTCAGGGAACCATCATCTTGTAGCCAATCTGGTATATGTTCTATGAGGCAGTATTGTTTTGGTAAAATAAATCAGCCCAAGTTATAGAGTTAAGGATTGGGGGGTGGGGGGCAGACATTGCTGTTTCATAGGGTCCCAAGAACTTTCTGATACATTCCTTACTAGAGAAGAAAGCTGTGATGGAGAAGGAATCCGAGGCAGAGCAGAACTTCTGAGGGAGAAATGTGCATGAATCTAGTCACCTGCTGTGGAAAACAGGATGAAGCAGAAGGAAGAGGTCACGGTAGCTAGGGATGGAGGCAGAGAGGGGTGCGGTGTTCACCCTGTGGGATGCTCCTTCCTCCAGTCAGCCAAGGGCCTTCTACACCATGTCAGGAGCTCTTATGCTCTGACTGGCCTTTCAGAGATTTCCGGGCCTTCTTCTCTCTCCCTCAGTGCATCCTTGAGGCCTTATTCCACAAGCACCCTGATGTAGAAATAAGGGTGGAGGTTCTTAGTCAGTAGAGTATTAGCCATTTATTCACACACTTGTATTGGCCACTAATGAGCTTGGTCATGCTCTGGACCCATAGTCTAATCAGGTCAAGACAGCTTGGGGAAACTGCATGGGAAAATTAGGTTAAAATTAACAGCTGTTCTCTTGTATTCAACCTGGAACCAATGAGCTGGATTGGGAATGTTCTTCTTGGAACCTCCCACAGGGGACTATACCGATTCTTTTGCAAAGGTGTTCACCTAGACACTGGCTAAGCCATGGCTATGGAGTTGAGGGAGGACCAGCCACCTGAGGAAACATCTGAGCACCAGAGCTGGGTGCTGGAGTGCTTGCTGGAGCAAGAACTCCAGCTGGTCCTACCTTCTGGTTGCTTCTGGTTTTGCTGGGAGACGTACTACCTGCTTATCAGTATGGTGGAAGAATGATGGGTGCGTGGAAGCCATGGGGACTATGGGACTGTGGAGGTGAGGAGAAATCAGATAGGAGAGCACTAAGAGACTTCAGAAAAAGGGTTATCAGGCAGAAAAAAAGTCTCCTGCTCAACCACCGTAGCCATGTGAAGCCAGGAGGAGCACACGTGACAGCCTGCCAACTCTCGCGATACTGCCTTACTCTCAGAGGAAGCTGAAGGCGAAGGCTTTCCCTGGAGGGGTTGGGGGGGGGGGCGTGTCTCACATCCCAGCTGACCTGCTGGGCTTCTGAGTCTCTCCTTAGGACAGCTAAGAAACAGTGATTTAAGTAGAAGGCTGACCTGAAAAGATGACAGTTTCGGGAAATAAAGGTTCTCATCTTATTGGACCCTGTTCTTGAAAGCGTTGCTTTTAGATGTGCTCTTTGGACGGCCTGAAGGTCATCGTTTCCCTGACTGTACCATCAGTTCATAGAGACCGCAGAGGGAGGTGCTTGTCAGGAGAGGATGCAGGCACCTGGACACCAGCAGTCAGCTGGAGCAAAGGTGAAATCTTGGCAGTGTTGCATGTGGAGCCTTGGAACATACGTTTCCGGAAATGGTTAGAGCTTGAGCCTTGTTTCTGAAAGCAGGGAGTTGGTTGGTTCGAAAGCAGATCCATGTTATTCGAGCAGACCTACTGATGGTATGCATTAGGTTTGGAGACATTTTCTTTGAGTCAGAAAACAAGCGGGCCACAGCCACCTCTTAGCTCTCTCTTTGTTGAATCTGAAAGGCCAAGCGTTCCTTTAGAAACTCACTTTCATTCAAGAGGGAAAACCTGAGTGCCTACGTGCCATGTTCCTGTGCTTTTGGCAGCATCAAGACAGATCAGATAGGGTCTGGAGCAATAGCACAACAGGTAGGGCATTTGCCTTGTATGTGGCCAACCTGGGTTCGATTCCCAGCATCCCATATGGTTTCCCAAGCACTGCCAGGAGTGATTCCTGAGTGCATGAGCCAGGAGTAACCCCTGAGCATCGCCAATGTGACCCAAAAAGAAAAAAAAAGACAGAT